AGGTATCGCTTTTGGGGAATCGTGACAGTTCAATTTGTGAAAGTCACGGTTCCCCAAAAGTCACGGAAGGAATATATATATATTTGAAAGTTTTTTATTTTTATTTTTTTATGTACAGTAAATTATTTGCCAAATGCCAATGGATGACATCACGATTAAAGATAGCCCATAAACTCGTTGCAAAGAACATAATGATTTTAGATGCTGGATCAGGTACATTGTACGTACTGAGGCAGGACTAGACACCTCCAGGCTTTATCTAAAATTTGAAACATGATGAAGAACTTCTTTGAGAGTTGAGACAAGGCATGTTTAGATTGTCTTCATATAAACATTTAAAAAAACAAAAAGAAAATATGATTTAAAACAAAGTTAATGTTGAGTTGTGGCCTGAATTATTAGTGCAGTTTGGATCATTTTTTCTTTTCACTTTCAGGTTTCAATCTGATTTCTAGTCTCGATTGGAACATGTATATATATATATATATATATATATATATATATATATATAAAGAGTTTTAGGGTTTGTATCATTTATTGAGAATACTGAAAACCTGAAGTACAGAGATATAAAGAGTATACTTGAGTTAGAATTTGAGATATGAACGTTTTGTTTTGCTTTGTTTTGTTTTTTTCAAAAGATTTGTGATATAAGATGTCATGCGCTACCCGTAACAAATTTTCACAAATACTTGTTTTCACTTTAAATATTGTCCCTTTTTTCTTTTTTTCTTTTTTTTTTTCTTTCGGACCATAGACTCCTCAGGGGTCACCCATCTGATAATTACTTTAGGTTAAGTAAGTTAAACTCTGTAATTGTGGTGGGTTCACAATCATTAGAGCTTTAAAATGCGTTGTGTCATACTTGAATCTACATGGGGATGTGAAATTATGCACTTGTAAATCGTCCGGTGCGATAATCTGCCACCTACACATGCTCTGACACACCCGCTCACAAAATCAAACATATCTAGTGGCAAGAGCCACAAAAAGAAAGAAAGACATCCATACTCTTGAAACCACACACACACACACATATATATATATATTCGTTTGATTGATACTTATTTGTAGGGATAGCAACGAGAGTGGTTTTGGCCGATTGTACCCTCTCCCGCCCTCACATTCGTTTAAAAACCTCGCCTCGTCCTCGTCCTCGTCCAAAACCATCTAAACTGGAGTCTTTCCACCACATCCCCTACCTCATTTAACTTTTTCACTCCCGTGGGCACCCTTTGCCCCCGTTTACTTCTAGAATTTCTCTTTCTTTTTAAAATTTTTTTTTTTCCTCAAATACAATTACATAACTATTGAAAAATCTCATAGAAAATGGGTAATCAATAATTTAATACAAAATTCAAAGGTATGAGCGTTCTTGGTTCGTAGGGCTCAGCCATTCTCTAGAACGAGTGAGAAAGTGAATAAATGATGACCTAGGGTTTGTAGAGTTAACTATATACACTAATAAAATAACAATAATTTAGCAATTTACTAACCTAAATGGGACGTGGCATGGCGGGATGACCTCCCCCGCCCCTGCCCCGAACCCGCGTGGGTTTTCATTAATAAAAAATATTTTTGCCAAAATAAATTAAATGATCCCTCAAAATCACTATAAACAGGATGGGGTGAAGCGGGTAGCCATCCCCACAGGACAACTTGCCATCCCTACTCATATGTGATTAAGTAAATAGCCAGATGTAATAATTGTGACATGTTTTGGACCACTAATTGCTAACAATCAGCTCCCAAACAATATCAGTGCACCAGTGTTTTACATCACGGATAAACTTCTTAAAATTTTCTTCTAGAAGATTGAATTATACACTACTTTTTTGGGTTTTGGTAAGTTGAAATTTTCAAATTGTTCACTTTAATTTATCCTTATAATTTGATACAAGACAATCTAGATCGACTATGAACAGTATTAAAAAGAGTTTTATCTCATATTGAATTTGGATGAAAAAGTAATAGAGCACATATGAGTTGGATATTAATATTAAGTTGGACTGCCAAACTCTTTTATTATTATAATTAGTATCAAAATCAAATTTAATCCTTAATTCGGTGTTATACTAAGCGATTGATCCAGAGTTAGACGGATTTGTAGGTAGGGTGATCCGATCGCAACGAAGCCCTCATTCGAATGAAAGAGAATGTTAAAGAGATTTGATACCACATCAGATCCGAATAGAAGCACCCGACCTGTTGCAATTAGTTAGATCACGTTTAATTTTTTTTTTTTATAAAAATAATTCATTATTTATGAGAAGAATACTATTCATAAATATATTTAATTTTACAAATAAAAAAGAAATTTATAGTTTTAGTTGCAAGTCCTCATAACCAGTCCGTAGTTATGAAAAAGCACAAATAATTGCACGAATTCACCATCGTCGTTGTTGGTTTTTTTTTTTTTTTTTTTTTTCACGTATAAAGTACCAAATCACTATTTAAAAAAAAAAAAAAAAGGTTTAAAGTACGAAACTGGAGGGATCAAAATTAAGTCAAAATTTGCAACTCTTTATAATAAATGGGGGTGGCACAATAGTTTTTAACTTTTAGAAGTCCAAGTTTTAACAACGCAATATCAACCAGTTCGACTTCACCAAAACAGCTTGGAGGATGAAGCAAAAAAAAAAAAAAAAAAAAAAAAAAAAAAAAGCTTAAATATAAATTCAAAAATATTAACAGATGCCACCAACATGTTATAATTTTTAAAAAAAAATATATTTTAATAAGAAAAATAGATTAAGTATAATTCAATAAGAATAGACATTATAGTCATTTAATGAAATATAATTTAGACATTGAGAAAATGTAATAGTTCAATAAGGTTATTTACGAATTCAAACATAATTTAAGGAGATTTTTATAGTTTATCTTAATTTCTGTTTATGATTTTTAGTTTTGAGATTTGCTCACGGATTCAAAAATTTTAACAGTTAGAGGGGGCTTGTCTTCCATCGGATATAGTTAGGGCTCTTCACTTTGTTGAACACGAAAAATCTTGTTACTCAACGACATTTGAATTGTATTCTTATAACAAAATAGTAGTATGTATAGTTGTTGTATTGATTCTAAGTTGAAATGGGTATTGTTAGAAAATATGAAAAATTTATGCTTTTAGGGTAAATATGATTCACAAGATATACACTTTAACATATGTTCCCGTATCAATTGTAACTATCAAGACTTTGTAAGACATTCAATCTTCACTATCATCATATTTGAACTCGGGTGGTCCAAAAGTGTATCAAGCTGAAATAAGAAGAACACGACATGAATAATGTAGACCAATGAATTGACTTTTAATTGCTTTGAGGTGATTTTGGTTGTTCAATTTATTGTAATTTATTGGTGTTGTTTATCAGCTTTTAATAAACAAAAGTTCTTGTCATATTTGGCAAATTTTACTAACCCCCTTGAGGTTTCTCATAATTGCACTAATCAATCCTCTTGTGTTTTGAAAATGGTTTTGGTCTCTCTTACACTTATTGGTGGATGGTGTTCACGAAACATATTATTTTTTTTTTAATTTTACTTCCACCCCTAAATTAAATTCGTTTTTGTTGACAAGTCAACTCAACTCTCGAGCAAAATTGATGTTCGAGGGTTATTTCTAAGAAACTCTCATGAATTTCATAAGTTGCGTTATAATTCGATCGTCTCCTTTAACAATCGAAAATGTTGTGAAGGAGACAAATTGGGCAGAAAATGTGCGATAGTTTTTGCAATAAGAGGAATTGTTTTTCTACTTATTTCTTGTCACATAAATTTGCAGTTTGGTTAATTGCTTTAGGAATATTAGTTTTGATAAGATGTTTATTTTGATAAAAGGAATTACAATTCATTTCCGAAAGATAAATAATTAATAATATTACAATTCATTTTATTTTATTCAACAAAGATCTATGAAAGAAGTGAGAATATGCAATTATTATGTGTGCTAATATATATAGATGAAGAGTAAAGGCTGAAGATGAACCTGGTATGCCACCTATTCGCTACAATCTAAAACGATGAAGAGGAACGAACCCTCATGCTCCTAGACCAAAACACAAATAGAGATATTTACCGAAGAAAAACACGGTTAGAGATGAGAGAGAGGAGAGGAAAAAGAGATAATTTTTGTTTCTATGTTAAAATGATTGTTTAGAGATTTTAAAGATAAAAGTGCTTTAAGACTATTTTGAACCGCGAACAACAGCTCCCAATTTCTATTTGCTAAAACATTAAGCAAATTCCGTTATTTCCCAGGCTAACAATAACAGAAGTTATTGTAATTTGCCATTTTATTATTTTGCATGATATTAAAAGTAATAGCTAAAAAATGATAGAAGTTTGATTATGAAGAAAAGGAAAATTTGACGAAAAATGAATTTTCATAACCACCTAACTTTTCCATAATTTTGATTTCTTGAAAATGTTTCCTTGACTTACAACAATGTTCTTTCGTTTTTTGGTATAACTTTCACGCTATTCAAATCATAACACTGTAATATATATATATATATATATATATATATTTTTTTTTTAAATATTCATACAAACAAACATACTATAAAAAATTTATTTTCTTTTCAATCACTACACTTTCTTTTATTTTTATTTTTCACTAATAATTTTCATCTAACCAAACGAAACCACAAGAAAAAAGAAAAATGGAAATGAACAAGGTTCAATGAATAAATAAACGAAAATAGAAATACTTGAAATTACAAGGACGGAGTTGAAAATATCTTTTAAATTCCAATCATCCTATAGTTGAATGCGCTTTGGTAAAAAATTCCAGACGTTACAAGAAAAACATGTTCCTTTCAATACACTTCCACAAAACCACCCATCGTTCACAGTTATTTCACTCTCCTAAACAAAACAAAACCGTCATAACTAAACAAACTTATGGGCAAAGTGGTAATTACGACCCCAAATTATCTGTCTCCCCTGTTTAATGTCGCATTCAACGCGGTCACTCTCTCGTCTTCTCCCTCCGGCCATCCTCGTTTGACTCTGTCTATTTCTCTCTCTAAAATGCTCGCTTACTCTCTTTTTCTCTCATTACAACTCTCATACGCTTCTTCGGACCACGCCAAAGCCCTAGAATTCTCCGATTGGTGATTTCTTCCATACAATTCGCAATTCGATATGATTGACACGGCCTTCGATTTTCTGGTGCCGTCGTGGTGGGAGGTCGAGGTCGCCGTCGCGGCGGCGTTCTTCGTGATCGTGGCGTACTGGTTCTTCGCGTACTGTGGTGGCGGAGAGAGCAATGCCTATGATCGGTGTCTGATTGACAATCCGGCGGGTTCTGGGGATGTCAATGACGATAAAGAGAAGGTCATTTTAATCATTTTGGAATTGTGGTGTTAATTAATTCTTTTAATTATATGATTATTGTATGATGATTTGTGATTTGTGTTTGAATTGTTGGTAACTGGAGTTATTAAAGGTCTTAATTAGGCTTTAAATTTGGCTTATGATTGCTGAGGTACTGTTTAGTGAGCGTTATAAGAAAGCATCTTTAAGTTCTGTGAAAGCGATGTTGAGAAAAGGCAAAAGTTTGTGTTTGGTGGTGAGTTTCAAAGTTCAAAGAAAGGAAGTTTTTTTCTTTCTTTTTTAGTTTTTTTTTTTTTTTTTTCCCCCTCAGAGGTCGTTGTTTTTGGAAGCATGTACTTTGATTCTGGAAGCAAAAATTATTTTCCCTTTTCTTCTTGTATCATCACCATTTCAGATGCATTACTACTATTACCATTTAGACCACACCTACCACTTATCAGAACCTTGACACCAACACTGTGGACAATATTGTTAATCATGTTTACTACATGCATCATGTGCAAAAAATCATTTATATCCCAACAATTTTCAGCTTGTTGGGAGAAAACTGTTGTGTGTTCTACACGCGTGACTGCCGTCAGTTTCTCCATCACCATAATTACTTGAATGAAAATTTTCTCCCCCCATATATTTGAATCAGTCTATTGTGAGGGAATGCCTTTTGTTATCTTTTCCGATTTTCCGATATATTATGCAATAAAGATTCAACATGAATATTCATTGAAGGTGTTTCTGGATGTTATCTTAAATTTGAATCCCTTGTGGCATATTATACAGCATTTCAATTATAGGAATTTATTGTCTTGATCTGGAATCATTAAAGAAAATGGCATCCGTCTTATATTAAAAGTTTTGAAATTTGTCATATAAAGAAACCTTAAAATGATCAAGTGTTATATAAGGCGAGTCCCCTGCTTTGCTTTATGGCAAAGCATTTGAGTTATGTACATTTTCACTTCAAATGAACTGGAAGCATTTGAGTCAATGTGGACATCCGGAAACACACTAAAATTTTACTTTCTTATATGAGTTGTATCTTTAAAGGCCTAAATTACAGGAAGTGATTCATGAGTTTTTCAGGGTTCAAAACTTTAAAGGATGTGTATATGTTCCAAGTTGACATTAATGGCAAGCTGTATTAAGATCTTTATTGAATTTTATATATGTTGTGGCACTTTTATGGATAAGAATCGCTTATTGATATAACATTACAAAAGTTAGCTTTCACAACTGTTAGTATTTGATTTACCATTTGTGGTACTTCGTTCTCTTCCATGAGATTATACGACTCACCTGGTAACGTACAATTGCATTTTGAAACTCAGTTTTATTTTTAGAATATTGGAATTACATTTGTATTATAGTATCATTTTGTGTATTATGTGTTTCATGGAATAATTTTCCACTTGTTTGACGTGCAGTTCTGCACTTATTTTGTAGATAGGCCAGATGAAAGGATACCCTCAATCGAATTCTGCATATATAATCAAGGTATTCTGAATTTTGAACTTTTAATTATTTCTATTTTGAGTTTGGCATTATAGTCTGCTGCCCTTTTGATTTTTGCACTGAAATTTTTATTCTGCACGAAAGGTTTGTTAAAGGTACTTAATGGGGCCATGTTGCATCAAAGTACCATCTTTGGTGATTCATTTGGTTGACAAGTAAATGTGTCTACTTTGGTTTCAGTTGGAATTGTTGGCAGCTAAGAATCTTATTGGTGCTAACCTAAATGGCACGTCAGATCCTTATGCAATCATCACTTGTGGTAAAGAAAAGCGATTCAGGTGATTGGGCTTGATTTTAACTTATATATTGTTCTAAAGTGTTAATGGTTTAGAACAGATATTTAGTGGAAATCTTTTGTTAACTTGCTTGGCAAACTGAATTCTCTGGTAGAATTTGTAGGATGCAGATTGTAGATCCTTGATGAAACCAATTTTCATCATTTTTTTATTTTGGTATGATAAGAGTATAAGAGGGGTTGGAGGTTGTGATTAAAAGATAATTCTTCAAGACGAACCTATCCCTGTACTACAGATAAGACAGTAATATATTTCCTCGCAGTCTGTTGCTTGGAGTTTGATGTTGTTGGAAACAAAATTAATCAGCCCCTTGAAATTTCTTACACAATTAATTTGGGGATTTTCTGAAATTTTCCTGAATCGAACATACCTACCAAATAATTGAAAATTATATAATTGCTCAACCCAGGCTCCACTATTCAGATTACCCAACTGCCTTGTGACCAGAACTGTAAACTTAATTTTCCTGGAACAACTGCACCTGGTTACTAATTGACTTAACTTGAGCAAAGAACTGATTCTTTTTTTTTTAAAAAAGAAAAAATATATTATTTATTTTTTTTTTTTTTGTATTTTTCTGTTTTGTATACCAGTAGTCCAGTGTCAATCTCTATGGTACCTGGAAAAGGAATGGGCAATTGATACCCTTTCATTTTCTGAATTTAGGTTGGGGGGGTATGGTTCTAGAGGTTTCGTAGGGTTGGGATCACTATTTAGTTTCAAACGTAAGATCATATTTACATTCAAACTAAAAGTAGATTGTAATTGCTATGTTTAAATTTGTTTTAACCTTTTCAGTTCACTTCAAACGTGTTTGATGGTAATTAAACTTTGTAGGAGCATAATAGTACTTATTTCCTTTATGGTTTATCTCCTTAATATGATAGCCCCTTTTTGTTTCTTGTTGCACTAAGTTCCGCATTCAGTAATTTTTTTATTATTATTTTTATTGATCTTTCCGTTGCAAAGAGGAAAAAATGAAATAGCTAGATTAAAATTGCTTGAAGTCACTTGCTGAAAAGGAGAAAAAATCTTGATTGTTGAATTTGGTATTATGAAAAAATTGTATTATGTTTCGCTTCGTGCTATCTACCTGTATGAGCATATTTTAGTGATATTGCTTAAAAGTTTGATACGTATAATAAAATTTCCATGATTGAGCAGGGCATCAAAATTGTATTATCTATGCACAATTTTTGTCTGTTATTTTACTCGCTTTGCTGCCACAGTTCAATGGTTCCTGGTTCAAGAAATCCCATGTGGGGAGAGGAGTTCAATTTTTCAGTTGATGAGCTTCCTGTAGAGGTAATAAGTTTGATGTTTTTTTCCTTTTATTTCCTTTTATTTTATTTTATTTATATAAATCGTCATTTGCAAGCCTATGAGTATGTGATGATGGTGGGAACTGATAGTTTGCAGTTTTTTTTTTTTTTTGGAAATGCTTTAGATTATTTATCCATGCCTTAGGAGTAGTTTAACAACTCTATCAAGTGCTGATATATGATAATTATAACTGGGTAGAAATCAATGCACAATTAGTCACCACCTAAAAGATAATATTTTTTAAAAGATCAGAATATTCAGCTAGAGGATCTTGACTTTCACTTATCATTGGACAAGTTTAGTTGAAATCAATTTGGCATGAACTAGGAAAAAAACAATCAATTTGGCATGAGGGTATATTATTTGTGTTGAAGATAAGTTGTTAAATGCCACTGTACAGTTTGGTTCCGATTATCAATGAAGTTGGGAGGGTTAGAGTGTGTGAATGCTCTCAGAATCGAATTCGCCTTCTTTTGCTTAATGCTTAGCAAAAGTTGTAGCCGGGTAGAAATCATATATTACCTTTGAGATTTAAATGTTAATGTACTATATGTGAAAAGGAATTAGCTATTAATTTATAACTTAATACTTAGTTTTAATACAGGTAATTTTCTAGTTTTTTGATTAACTTATTTGGCTGGAGAAAGTATTTCTGTAACATGATTTAAACACTGGTTGTTTAGTCTTATAGTTGTTTAATAAACACCTTTGGGGCTATTGGTGGTTTAGTGGTAAATGTTAAGGCTGTCAAGTAAGTGAATGTGGGTTTGAGTCTAAAGTCGTGCGAATAATGCTGAAGGTTTGGTCTATACTCACTCTGTCAGTAGGAGCCAGGAGCCACACTGGGTAATGACTTTTTTTTTATTTATTTAAATTTTATATGGTCGTATTTCTGATGGGAAAATCTATATTTTAAATGAACTTGAGAAGGTTTAGATATGAACTCATTAACTTCTTTTTTTGTGACAGTATGCAACATTAGTAGGTTTGTAGTTTATACATTATAGTCAAATAGGAAGAGTCAAAAATTTTCTAGATTTTTAGTTACTGGATTGAACCTTCACTTATGTATGAAAGCCTACAGGACATGTGCTTTTTACGACTATGAAAGCAAGAAAAGTACTCCTTCCATCTCAAAATTCTTGGCCATCTTTCTATTTTGGGATGTCCCAAAATACATGTCCCACTTCAAAAATAGATGTACTATTTTAATAATATTCCCAAGCTACCCTTTTCACATTTATTTGATTTAACAAGTGCACTAATTACGGAGTATCTTTTAACAAGGATAAATTTGAAAATTCACTCATCATCATTATAATTAAAAAAGTAATAAAAATCACTACCATAAAAAGTTGGATTCCCAAAGAAGCCCAAGATTTTTGGGACGGAGGGAGTAAATAACATCGCTCCTATATCTTATATGCCTTTTTTCCCTAGTTGATACTCACACACACCCCTCCAAGGAATTGTTTGCACTTGATGCTTCATGAAGCACCAAGGCCAAGTGACTTACCCACTTTAGCCAACCCCTCGGGGTATCTTATATGCTTATTTATGTGTGCCAATGCCTAAGTTATTATGCTTGCGTGTTTGTTTCATATAGTTCAGGTCTTTTGAACTAATTTCTTTTTTGAATTGTTTGGGCAGATTAACGTGACAATATATGATTGGGATATAATATGGAAAAGTACAGTTCTTGGTTCAGTGGCTGTTCCTGTTGAAAATGAAGGTCAAACTGGTGCTGTATGGTATACTTTGGATAGCACATCAGGACAAGTGAGTATTTGCATTTTTCTTTATATTGGTATTTTATTATATATTTGTTGCTCTTCTTTTTCTTTATATTATTTCTTATAGAGATCGAAATGTATCTGATTTGTTTGTCAGGTCTGTCTGCATATTAAAACAATAAAACTGCCTGTAGATTCTTCCAGGTAGCCTTGGTTTTGTTTCCTTTTCTCTTATTTCTGCTCCTTTTCTATACTGTTGATCACACACATATATGCATTTATATGTCTATTTATTTATCTGTCCTCTACATATTGAATAGCATAAACATGTTTGGTACTCCTATGTTTCACCACTAGCCATTCAGGCTGAAAGTCATGAGTAGTATTTTTATCCTTTGCTAGGTGCAGCTAGCATTCTTAATATACGTATGTTTGTATTAGACTGATTGAAAGATACTAAAGGTTGAAGGATTGCGTAATTCTTATGTGTCAACAATGTATGGGATGCCAATTATTAGTATAGTAGTGTTTATCCCCCTCCCCTCACTTTGGCAGAAGTTTCTGTGGTATAATGTATGCATGTCAACAATTGGTTTGAGCTGTATTTAAATGTTTTTATAATGAATCTTAGCACTTTGGAAAGTGCATCAGATCATTTCTTGTTTGTCTGTTTTGTACATCAGAAAGTGCCATGGAGAAGCTTCCAAAAAGGTTTGAATGATTAGGTGTTTCCAGCGATCGGATTAGGGGATAATGTTAAGGTGATATGATGTAATAACAATGTTTGCTTGTCTTTTTGAAAAAGTAATTTATCTAAAAGCAGAGGGCCTAGCTCTCTTGAATGGCCATTGAGATGCATTTTTATTGTCTGTACCACTGAATTATCAACTACTTAGGGTGGTCCTGATGCTGTGACGGGTTTCATGCAATTCCAAACTTTTGCTTCAGATAACCATGATGAATGGCATCTTGCTTTGGACTAATCAATACAGACAGATTAGGAGAGTTGGGTCTCTAGATCCCAGATTTTTCGTAAGGGCTTTGAGTTGTTGCAATGTATTCTATCGTTGGGGGTGGTTTTTTTATTTTTTATTTTTTTGGTTCTGAAAGATTTGTCATCCTTCATTCCTTTTATTTCTATTTTTGTGAATTTTGAACGGGTCTTTGCTTTCCAAAATTTTAAGAGATTTAGATAATGATTTTGTAGAAAAACTGGGATATTAAAATATATAGCCATTTTTATTTTGTTTTCCTCATTATCTTTTTGCTTTTTACTGATTAAGAGAGTGATACCTCAATCCTCTTCTTTTATCTATTAATAAGATTGTTTTTATGGAGAAGAAGACTAAATGAAGTGTAAAATTTTCAATCAATGGGTCAGGAAGAATTTCAGTTGCCCCATTTATTACTCTCTACTCTCTAGTTGGTGAAGAAAATAATGGAAACTTTAATAAGTTTCAATTGATAGGTCCTATGTGTTTTGTACGTCTATACATGTCCCTTATCTCATATAAGCACATAATTTGTTTGAATACAGTTAGTTTCACCATTTCTTTTTTTGTTACTTTTTTTTTTTAATCCAAACTTCTCTCATAAACTGAACCTCCATTTTAACTTCTTTAAGTCATATATTTTACAGCAAATATATGCCTGTCAATATCCGAGTGTCTTTTTGATCATTATTGGAATTAGATAAATGTTTTTACTTCTAATTCTGTTTGTGTTTGCTCTGGGATTTTGGTATTGATGGTTCTTCGTGCGTTTGTTTTACTGCATTAAACTGGAGCCGTTCATTTTGGTTGAGATTTGACATGCTTATGGTCACCTAGATTATTTAATTTTTGAGTTTCTTGTTGATTGTAGTGTTTTTCACATAGCTGAATTATTATAAAACTAATTTATGTTAGGGCTTTGAATGGTTATGCTGGAGCAAATGCTCGAAGAAGGGTTTCTATGGATAAACAAGTACCCACAGTTGTTCATCAAAAACCTGGACCTCTACAAACAATATTTAATCTTCTTCCAGATGAGGCAAGATTCTTAAACTATTATTTTCTGGATATGTCTGTTCATAGATTTTGTGTTGCAATATCCGGCTCACCTAATATAGTGTGTATCTATCAGGTCGTTGAACATAGCTATTCCTGTGCACTTGAGAGGTCATTTTTGTATCATGGTCGTATGTATGTCTCCGCATGGCACATATGCTTCCACTCTAATGTATTTTCAAAGCAGATGAAGGTTCGTTTGTCATTATTTAGTGCAAAAGTTAAATTAATTTTTTATTTAGATTTTTATCCTTTTTTATGGAAGATGAAATCATAACACTAAAGCAGCATAAATGCTAGACAGATAAATGCTATGGAGGTATGGATGGCATTCTTTTTTTCATGAATAACACTTCTTTACAGGAAAAAAGCAAAAAAGAAAAGAAAAGAACCAAAAAAACTTATAGGTTCTCTAAAAGGTTTCCAAGAAAATATACCTTCAGAGATTATTTATATGCAATACAAAATACAGAAGATTTTAGGAAGTCGCTTAATGTAATGTGATAAAGGAAAAGATAGAAAAGAAGCAAGCTCATTGGTATGCTGACTGTTTATTTTTGCGAAAAAAGTTAAAAGTTGTAAGAGAGGCTAGTTTATTGACACAGATTTGCTGTAGGAGGTCCTGAGAGCAGAGAGCTTAAATAATCTGAAAGGACATGGGAAATCATGCCAGAGGCCCTCCCAGAATCTACTTTTATTTTAGATTGATAGCAATCAATGAATTTAGTACTAGAGATGAATCCAAAATAACCCTCAGAAATGGTATCAAGGACGGTGATGAGTCCCTATCATAACCGAGGTGGCATCCCAACTATTAAGTTGAAGGTCATACTTAAATTCCACATTGAGTTTTGCTCTCTTGGAAGTCTCCATTGTCACTTGCCAATGAGGGTTTTAGTTCTAAGAATCACATTGCCTAAGACCAAGCCAGCCTCTGCTTTAGGTTGATATACTAATCTCAAACTCTGTATTTTTCGGGCATATTGCAGAAAATCCTCTTGAAGGACCTCAACTATTATATTTATTCATAGAGAACTCCCCTGAAATGTCATTTAAGCAGCAAACCCACTTCATCTTTACCACAACCCTGCAAATCACCCCCCTACCATTAGATAACCTTAAAAATAAGAACTGAAAAGCAGTTTCTTTTGTGAAATCATTAATTTACCCATTTATGTTGACAAAATACCTTTGGAACATTTTTTTGGATCTGTATAACAACTCATCGTAAACAGATATAGAATCAGTCATTACAAACCTGCTTGTCATTCTACAAGGAGTTCTTTGAATTCTCTGAAGTGGAGGTGGTCTCATAATTTCTTTTTTATTTTTAAATCCTACAGGGGTATAAATGTCATTTTCTATGGCCATTAATAATGTGCTATGTTGAATGATTAAATATTAAAGTTACACCCGCTCTAATAGCTTAAGCTTTTAGAGTAGATGGTAGTTAACAAGGTATCAGAACCAAATGTCTTGAGTTCAAACCTTACTGTCACCCTAATTATAGATGAAAAACACGCGTTGAACCAAAAAGAAGACCACACATGAGGGGGCATGTTGAAGGATTTAAATATTAAATATACACCCTCTCTAATAGCTTAAGTTTTAGATTGTACTTAACATGTTGGACTGTCCTTTACTGCAACTCTTTGATAGTTTAGGGGGTTGAATGGTTGATTGCTTTAATAGGGGGGTATTTACAGGTTTTAGATAGTTGAGGGGTTGCATTTTGGCCTTATTTTTAAAATATTTTTAACTTTTTAAGCAATATCAAAACTATGGAAAGATCTCTTTGGATTTTCTCCAACTTGTTCGCCATTTATATAGGGGGGATTTTGAACAAAGAACGATTATGTGTAGGAGTATTTGCTAGATAATAGTTAGTTCATGTGATCCTATTCTAAGGAAACAAAAACTTTTTCCCCGCCCATCTAAGCACTTTTAGACCTCAACAAATGTTCTAGGAAACTCTCATTTCAAAGGGAATTGAAAAATAAAATAAATTAATGATTCTGATTTTTCTCCTAAATAGAAGGCCTAGGTTTTTCATTGGCTACTTGCTTGCAAAACAAACTAAAGATTTGTTTTAACTTTTGCCACTATGCTCCTCAACATCTGTTGGAATGAGAATTTTTTTGTGTATTTTGGTTTTCAATCCTGCAAAACTTACTAAAAACCCAAGGGCTTAAAGAAATATTATAGGTTTTAGACTCTTCATTGCACGAGAATATAATGTCATTCGCAAAGCAAACTTAAGGCTGGACATCGAAATGTGATCTTTACCAGACCAATATCCTTGATCATATTAGCATTCTTAACCTTGGAAATAAATCCTACCGAAATCACAGAAATTATATAAGGGGATGAGCAATCTTCCTGCATCAATTGTCTGCACCTATCAAGAGGCGTATCCTTTTTAATTCATCAGCTATTTTTCCCTTTCCTGGTTCCTTTTCTGGTGCAATCTTTATGTTTCAAGACAGCTTTTTGACAGTCTTCTGTATGTATTGTTGATATATCCAGCTCTTCCATTTTCAGCCCTTTTTATATTTTTTAGTTTTAGTTTTTTGGGAAATCAATTCTTTCATTACCAGTTACTACTCATCCGCCTCAATTTCAGTTATCCCTAGATTTCTTTTTTTTTTTTTTTTTGTTTTAATATCCTGGTTTGTTGGTGCCATAAAGCATAGCTGGTCCTATAGTTGTTTTATGAAGTTCTCTAAGTTAGAGGTATACAACAATAACTCTAATCCAAATAATGGTTGTAATACAACGCAACTGCATCTGAATGAAAAACACGTTAAATTTTCTTTTTGAAATTTCCCAATATTATAACATTAACTCCAATACTGACCTCTTGGAGTTCCCAAACGATATCCTTTCTGTCATTTATTTCTACATATGGCTATAACCTCTTTTGTATCACAAACTGTTTGCAAAATGTTGATTCATGTCCTCTTGTGTCGTGGACTTATTCTTGAATACTTGTATTTTCTTCATTACATTGCACATGAGTAGAACATCTTAGTTGGATGCCATTGCACATGAGTAGAACATCTTAGTTGGATGCTATTGGGGTCCTATCTCTAAATTCTTATGAAGCCATTCATTTCTAGTTATTTCCTTATCTACTCTTGCCACTGATCCATCTGAATATACTTACTCTAGATACCTTCATCTTGTATGTTGAAAATTCATGCCATTTATTTGTTATATCAGGAACTTTTAGATTTTCCTAAATCTGTAGGTTAGGATTAAATAGTGCTTTTGTATGAGGATTTTGTAAAATGCTCATGTGGTGCCTTACTTTTGGTTCAGTATACTAATGATTGGGATTTTTTATTTATTTTTTATGTGTTCATTATGTGTTCCATGATTATGTTTCCATTTGACAGGTAATTATACCATTTGGAGACATTGATGAGGTATTAAGCTTATCCCATGTTTCTTTGTGATCTTTTCCTCTCAAGTTTTAACTGAATGGCTTTTTTAGCAATATTCTAAGGATCCTTATTTTTTTTACATAGATACGAAGGAGCCAACATGCATTTATTAATCCTGCTATTACTATAATTCTGCGCATGGGTGCTGGTGGGCATGGTGTACCTCCTTTGGGGAGTCCTGATGGTTAGTAATTAACTTAATGAGTTTAGGTGTCCTATAACAGTTCTTAATCTGATATATTGCATTTTTGTCAATAGAAATATGTCTTGGACTACAAGAATCCCTGGATCATATCTTAATAAGTTGTAATAACGTAGAGGATTCAAATATATTTTAGCATCTTTTTTATTTCAGAGTTCAATGCTAGAGTTGTGCATTAATCTAACTGAAACATTGTACATAACATGATGAGCCACTAGAAGCAGAAATCTGTGATTGTGATATCACCTTTAATTTTAGGATTTCTGCAAATGGATTTATTGATAGCTTAATTGGGATACCCTTTGTAATTAATTTACCTTTTACTGCATTGTCTTGCTTACTCTTGTTTTCCTGAATGTCCAGCAATTTGCTGAATGAAGTGTAACTAATTTTTTTTTACCGGGAATTATTAGTGAAGCATGCTATCTGGGATTTGTTACCAGAACTATACATGGCATCTCTTGTGTACTGATCTGTTTAGCTAAGTGGGTTCTAAGAAGTTACTTTTAATTCATTTTTTACCTAGATGAGATGATGTGACAGTGTTACTTACTGTCGGGCCCAGTTTTTTTATCCCCTTAGGGGTTGACGCGGGTAAGAAAGGTGTTTACTTGCGCTTATCGAAAAAGGCTAGTAATTATGTGCCTACTAAGGTGAGTTGAAAAAGAGGATCTAATGGGATTAAGGATGGCGTACAGTTTTATAATAGCTTAATCAGGGCCTTGGTGATACAGTTTCGGAGTCTCCACCTTAAATCAAGTTTGCAAGTTTGGTGTGCTTTGTATAGATCATAATGGCTAGGTTGTTGTCTCTGATTTTCTCTTCTTATTGGAGATGGACATACTTCATTTTCAATGTTACGTACAGTGGGGGTATGCCTCCACTTTAATCCTGTACTTAATCTATTGAAGGATTTATATATTTAAGTTACACCCTCTATAACAGCTTAAACTTTTGGAGTAGATGGTTGTTAACATGGTATCAGAGCCAAAGGTCTCGAGCTCAAACCTCACCGTCACCCTAATTAAAAAAATTTTAAAAACACGTGTTGGACCAAATGAAGGCCACACGTGAGGGGGCTTGTTCAAGGATTTATATATTTAAGTTACATCTTCTCTAATAGCTTAAACTTTTGGAGTAGATGGTTTTTAATATCATCGTTTTATCTTAATACACAAAACCATTTAGGGAAAAAAAAAAGTTTGGTGTACTAGGTCATCTAAATTTTGTCAATGGACTAAGAGAATGCTTGAGTTTTAAGGTATACACATGCTTGAAAATTGTGTTAACGAAGGCCCATTGTGTGTTGACTTACATGCCACACACTACACAAACCAAATTAGTTAACTTAGGGGGTTTGATTATGCATGTGTTGTACAAAACATTTTTGAAGCACTGGTTGGTATTGGGCATCTCGTTGCTTGTAAAATATAATAGTAGAAAAAGAAATAATAGAACCTGAACTAACATATATATAAGTACACTTACATTTTCAGGAAGTTATGTTTCCTTGTATAAACTTGGATCTAGTGGACATGAATGTGTATGTACACCTATATACATGTGCTAGCCTTTCATTTTATGTACCTTTTTGGATGTATATATAAATTGCACCTGTGAGGATGGGGCTTTTCGTGGTGGTAAGGTTGCTCAATTGTGACCTAGAGGTCATAGGTGCAAAACAGGAAATAGCCTCTTTGAATGCAGAGATAAGGTTGTACATTTTACCCTCCCAATACGCTGCTCTGCAGACTTGTGCACTGGGCTAGCCCCTTTTATACATACATTGCACCTACATATGTACATTGATACTGTATAGCATACCCCAATGTATATTTGCACATGCACACCTTTATATGAATGTGTACCTTTCCTAGACTTTATGGAATGGCTGCCGATAGACATGCCTATGTTGCTGATTGCTATAAGCTTCATAGCAATGGGATTATGTGGGATGTGCGCTTTAGGCGCTCTTTTCAGGATTGGGAGATGGAGGAGGTTTGCAGCCTTTTGGACTTGTTGTACCAACAGGACGCAGTTGGTAGAGGCGGTGATGCTCTCCTGTGGGTTCCCTCTTCCCATGGTATTTTCGATGTCTGGTCCATATTCTTGTGTTCGCTAGTTCTGGTTTCCCGTGGAAGACAGTATGGCGCTCTAAGGCTCCCCTTAGAGTGGCATTCTTTGTATGGACAACCGTCTGGGGCAAGATTTTGACGTTGGACAACTTGAGGAGGAGAGGCAATATTATGGTTAATTGGTGTTGCTTATGCAAAAAGGATGGTGAGTTTGTTGATCATCTCCTTATGCACTGCCCTGTGGTGTGCGGTGTTTGACTGTTGGAACCTGATTTTTGGGTTATTCGGTATTTCTTGGGTAATGCCTCGGCCTACAAGGGGCTTGATTAATGCATGGAGGGGTTGCTATGTAAGGGGTTTTGCTCGTGATTCTTGGAGGATAGTCCCGCATTGTGTTTGGTGGTGCATTTGGAAAGAGCGGAATAACAGACTTTTTAAAGGCAAGGAGTCATCCACGGCGACTCTAAAACTCTTTATTCTTCGTCCACCTTTAGTTGGGTGAAGGGTAGTTATTGTTCTTCTAATGAGGAGTTCATAGACTTCTTGGACTTACTGGGTCCGTAGGTTTCGGTTTTGTTTTTGTATTAGGGATGCGTTCCCATTTTGAACGCTCTTTTCATTTCAATCTACATTTACTTATCAAAAAAAAAAAAAATTTGAAGGAAACCTTTTGTTTTACGAGCCAAATTTTTGTTTGGAAGAAGTATGTTATTGTAAAATATTTTATCAAAAGAAATAGTGGCCGAGTGAAGTTCATCCAGCCTTTTATACAGATAGGGCTTGAAATTGAGCAGGTTTGACCCATGTCCATTTTAATGGATTTGGATACTATATTTTGAATCTAAATGTATGAAAGACAAATACTTGTACAAGGGAGACATATTTGTATCGTGTCAGTGTTAGATATTGATATTCTTCAGATTCACGTGAATACCTTTTAATTGTGCATAACGTAAAAATGGTCTTTTATTATTATTATTATTATGAACGCGTATCCAATATTTTTCAAATAATTTCTTATACTTTTTGTGACGCGTGTGTAACAAGCCTTTTTCCTTATAACTATTTTTAACAAGCCTTGAACATTAAAATGCAACTTTTTCAACTATAATATCATATTATAATTGTCGGAAAAAGCTTAGAATTATTATTATTTTTTCTTTAAAAAAAAAAGTAGTATTGAGATATAATGAGAATGTATGATGGCTAATGTAGTCCAACACGTGTAACTCTTGGCTTTTGTTATAATTTTTATAAAGAAACATTAGTAATACTATATATACATTAAATTACATATATTTTATCTATGTTAATATAATATATATATGTGTGTGTGTGTGTGTGTGTGTGTGTGCATATTGTCATGTCTTTGCAGTACCTGTATCCTACTTTTTAAGAATTCGTCTTGTTGACATAACCTTATCATCTATCTGTGTCCATAATTTGTAGATCCTGATCTTGAAATTGGTCAGATATGGATCTTCCTTGGAAGATTCGTTACGGGTTCAGGCTGGATCTAGATATGAGTAGTCATGAAAGGAATCGAGTTTAACTCGAGATCCGACCCATATCAAGCATATTTTATTTTATTAGGATTCTTTTTGGAATGTTTATATGATTTGACTCGGATCCGGATCTAAATTGGATTCTGACTTTAAATTATGGATTTGGACTTGGATTCACATGCTCTCAAGATCCACTCCATTTTATCCCCTACATATACAGAGTACTTCAGCTAAATTCTATAGTGATTTTTGGAGCTTTGTTTTGAAGTGTTAAGAAACTATCATATGTGTTTTACGATAAATGCAGCAAACCAAGAACAAAACAATAATTACGACAGAAAAGTAAACACGCCACACAAAAAAAACACAAAGATTTACATGGTTCGGCTTAAGTTTTAGCCTACGTCCACGTTGAAGATCTGACGAAAAATTTCGTTATGCGAAAAGCATGAGATTACAAGTTTTAGCCACCTAAATTCTAGCTCTCACTCTCTCTATTTCCTGCGATTTTTAGTGCTCTCTCATTATGCACTCTAAACTGTAAACGCCCTGATATATAAGGCTACAAGAGACTTCTAAACAGGATCCTCGACCCACAAGAGAAAAACGGGTCATAAATATTTTCCAAATGCGAACCAAGTTGCAATGCGAACCTGTCTAAATCAAAATTCGGGTCACAAGATCACAAATCTCCACCTTGATTCGAATTATGCCAAGTTCCACCCTCCACGGCTACTCCTTTCGCCTCCTCCACATGCCCCTAAGGGCTTAACACCAATCAAATCCAGATTAGACCTTAGTCATCATACCCTCCGAATTCTATGTTGTCCCAATATTAACACTTGTGCAATCACATGTCTAATAAAGTGCAACCTGACATCAATGTGGTTGTTCCGCTCATGGAACATCTGATTTTTATTCAGATGTTTGGCACAATGGCTATCGCAAAACGCAATTAAATCATCCTGCTGCATGCCCAAATTACCAACCAAACCTCTTAGCCATATAGCTTCCTTCACTGCTTTTGTGGCTTTCGTGTACACAGCCTTAGTAGTAGACAATGCAACTGCATAGTCATCTTCTAACTTATCACACTCCCACAAAGAGTGAAGACATACCCTGTCAAGGACTTCCTCTTATCAAGATGTCCAGCAGAGTCTGAATAAAAAAACCCAACAACTCTTCCACACGAGTCGCTGCCTCTGTCATAGACTAAACCAACATCTGCAGTGCCTCGTAGGTACTGCAATATCCATTTCACATCCTACCAATGGACCTTCCCAAGTCTATCCGTGTATTTGCTCACTACACTAACTGCATGTGAAATGTCTAGCCTAGCGCACACCATAGCATACATGATGCTATCAACTGCGCTAGCAAAAGGAATACTAGACATGTGCTC